TCTCCATTGATTCTGAACAAGAGCTTTATTGGGTAGAGTATTCTTGGTTGTAGGTTTGCTTCCCCTTCCCTTTTTGTCTTTTAGCCACACCATGCAACATGCAGGATCTTAGTTCCCTGACCAGGGATCAAGCCCATGCCCCTGTATTTGGAGCATGGAGTCTTAAATACTGGACTACAAAGCAAGTCCTGATTTCTCCCTTTTATCACTTTATATTGTGCCTCTCTCTTCTGGCATGCTGAGTTTCTCTTGAAAAATAAGCTGATAACCTATGGGAATTCCCTTGTGTGTTATTTTTTGCTTTTCCCTGTTGCTTTTAACACTTTTTCTTGGTCTTTAATTTTTGTCAATTTGGTTAATATGTGTTCTTGACATGTTCTTCATTGAGTTTATCATACATAGGACTCTCTGTACTTCCTGGACTTGGGTCAGGTTTCCTTTCCCATGTTAGGGAGTTTTTCAGCTTTTGTCTCTTCCAGGATTTTCTCAGGGCCCTTCTCTCTCTCTTTTCCTTCTAGGACCCCCATAATGTGAACACTGGTGTGTTTAACATTGTCCCATAAGTGCTCATTTCTTCTCGCTCTTTCTCTTTACTGTGGTGACCACAGTAAAGTGGCCACAGTGACTTTCAGCACTCTGCCTTCAAGCTCCCTCACCTGTTGTTCTACCTCATTTACACTATTAATTCCTTCCAGTTACTATATTGTTCAGCTGTTTGTTCTTTATATCTTTTAGCTGTTTGTTTTACCATTTTTGTATCTTTCCCATCTGTGCTTTCATTCTTTTTCTGAGGCCTTGGGTCATCTTTACTATCATTATTCTGGATTCTTTTTTGGGTAGGTTTCCCATCTCCACTGAGCTTAATCTTCGTAAGGGGTTTTATCTTGTTTCTTCATCTGGAACATCTGCTTCTGGCCATCACATTTTGTCTAACTTTCTGATCTCCATTTCACAAGCTGTAGGTCTGTAGTTTCTCTTGCTTCTGGTGTCTGCTCCCTTGTTTGTGAGGTTCTCCTAGAGGCTTTTGCAAGCTTCCTGGTGGGAGGGACTGGTGCCTGCCCATTGGTGGGTGGAGCTGGGTCTTACCCCTCTGGTGGGCAGAACCATGTCAAGGGCTGTGTTTAGAGTTGGTTGTGGGATCAGAAAGACTTTAGGCAGCCTCTCTGCTGATGGGTGGGGCTGTGTTCCTGCCTTGTTTGTTGTTTGGCCTGAGGCATCCCAGCACTGGAGCTGTTGGGTGGGGCCAGGTCAAAATGGCAGCCTCCAGGAGCGCTCACACCATAGAGTGCACCCCGCTACCTCTGCCTCCAGTGTTTTTGTCTCCACGGTGGCCACAGCCACCCCCTGCCTTCCCTGGAGATGCTACAAAACCAGTGAAAACGTCTGTCTCAGGCTCCTATGAAGTCACTGCTTTTCCCCTGGGTCCCAGTGCACATAAAACCTTGTGTGCACCCTCCAACTCAACAGAGCTGCGTTTCTGTTTGGCACAGTTCTGTGGAGTTTCTGTGACCACGCCCTGCTGGCCTTCAAAACCAAGTGCTCTGAGGAGTCCCTCACTCAGAGCCGGACCCCAGGCTGGGCAGCCTGATGTGAGGCTCAGAATTCTCACTTCTGTGAGAGAACCTCTGCGATATAATTATTTACCAGCTTGTGGGTTGCCCATCTGGTGGGTATAGGATTTGACTGGGCATATTGTGAATGTGCCCTTCCTACCATCTTACTGTGGCTTCCTCTTTGTCTTTGGATGCAGAGTATCTTTTCTGGTGGGTTCCAGTCTTTTCTGTCAGTGGTTGTTTCAGCAGTTAGATATGATTTTGGTATTTTTGTGGAAGGAGTTGAACTCAAGTCCTTCTACTCTGCCATCCTGTCTCCAACCAGAAGCCAAAGTGCTTTAATAACCATAGATGTGGACATGTGGGTAGTCCTTTGGGTGTGTCTTCTCAGACAAATTCACATAAAATATATGTCTGTACTTGGTATTTCCACAGGCACAGCAGTCTAAGATTGGTTTGTTGGTCACCCCATCAAATGTGGAATCTTTCTCACAAAGTTTCTTGGTCAGAGAGGCCTCATTTTGAAAATAAATGATGTGTTTCTATATGATGCCAGCCTCTAAAACCACAGCCTGTTCCTGCAGCCATTCCTGCAAGTGGCACTGTCCAGAACACCAAGATTTATGTCCTCTTCCATGGGGTGTTTTCTGAGACCACAGTGGGGCAATTGCTCATGAACTGTGCTTCTTCATCTGTGATATGGGAGGTCCTGGCATGGTCTTTCTACTTATCACCCTCTCTGTTCTCTTTTCTATATATATATTTTTTTAAAAGTTGTCAACTCTTATTGGGGATTCTAGACCTAAAAATGAATCTTTGTTACTGTTTTGTCATTTCTTATTTTTGTGACCTTGGGGAAGTCACTTAATTTCTCCAAGCCTCCAGTTACCTCTAGGGCACTGGAGATTGAAATAGTTGTTCCATCCACAATACAAGATTGTTGGAAAAATCATATTTGAGGAAGTATAGTGAGTAGCATATTCAGGCAAGAATAATTCACACTGAGACACAATCTTGCAACAGAGTAGAGCTGGGCAAGTAAAGAATTGGCCACCAGGGGAACTAGCAAGAGGTAAAGCTGGATTACTATGAATGGAGGTTCGTGACACTGCACACGAGACAGGGATCAAGACCATCCCCAAGAAAAAGAAATGCAAAAAAGCAAAATGGCTGACTGAAGAGATAGCTGTGAAAAGAAGAGAAGCCAAAAGCAAAGAAGAAAAGGAAAGATATACCCACTGGAATGCAGAGTTCCAAAGAATAGCAAGGAGAGATAAGAAAGCCTTCCTCAGTCATCAGTGCAAAGAAATAGATGAAATCAATAGGATGGGAAAGACTAGTGATCTCCTCAAGAAAATTAGAGATACCAAGGGAACAATTCATACAAAGACGGGCACAATAAAGGACAGAAATGGTATGGACCTAACAGAAGCAGAAGATATTAAGAAGAGGTGGCAAGAATACACAGAAGAACTGTANTCAGAAAGGTTGAAGGCAGGAGGAGGAGGGGATGACAGAGGATGAGATGGTTGGATGGAATCACCAACTCAATGGACATGAATATGAGTAAACTCCAGGAGTTGGTGATGGACAGGGAGGCCTGGCATGCTGCAGTCCATGGGGTCACAGAAAGTTGGACACGACTGAGCAACTGAACTGAACTGAAAGCTGGATTGTCAAGGCCAGATCTGTAACAACACATCCATATTAAAGAACTTGGACTTACTATTGAAGATGAGGGACTGTCTCTGAAATGTCACTCAGATGCTATTTGCAGTTCAGAATGTGTCCTTCGGAGGGAGTGAGAGCAGGGGAGGCTGACTCTGCAAATTAGAGGACAAAGGCCACTAGCTCTTGTCTCGTAATAGTGGTTACGACAGAGCATCAGTGAGGGTGTGTGTGTGCTGAACTGCTCCAGTTGTGTCCAACTGTTGGCGACCTCATGGACTGTAGCCCGCCAGGCTTCTCTGTCCATGGAATCTCCAGGCAGGAATACTGGAGTGGGTTGCCAGAGTGGGTTGCTCTCCTCCAGGGGATCTTCCCGACCCAGGGATTCAATCCGCATCTCTTATGTCTGCTGCAGTGGCAGGGGGTTTCTTCACCACTAGCACCACCAGGAAAGCCCAGCATTGAGGATGGGGTATATAAATTTGTCTAAACATTTATGTTTTATGCTTTAACTTTCCCTTTCAGGGTGAAGACATTTGTAGGATCATAGATTTAGTAGAACGTCTTCTCATGAGGACATGTAGACCATCGCCCTGAATTTGGGAGGATCAGATACTTTCCCTCCCACTTCCAGATGAAGTAACTACAGCTCACAGAAGTTAAATGGCTTTCTTAAGTGGTGGAAAAGAAAGAGGAAGAGTCTAGACTGACTGCCTGCCTCCTCCCTATCCCACCACACATACACACACATACACAACATACACATACCACATACACTCGCACACATACCACTCATGGTAGAGAAATACAGAACTCAGAGTCCTTGAGGTTCTAAAGCCTGCTTTCACATGAGTCTAAGCTGAGGAATTCTGTTTCTGAAGATCATAAAAGTTGTTATAATCATATAATCTAATTATAAAACATTTCTATGTAATATATAATGCATATTATGTTTAATTCAGTCAGTCAGTCAGTCTTGTCTGACTCTTTTTGACCCCATGAACCGCAACACACCAGGCCTCCCTGTCCATCACCAACTCCTGGAGTTTACCCAAACCCATGTCCATCAAGTCGATGATGCCATCNCCATGAAGTGATGGGACCGGATGCCATGATCTTAGTTTTCTGAATGTTGAGCTTTAAGCCCTCTTTTTCACTCTCCTCTTTCAGTTTCATCAAGGGGCTCTTTACTTCATCTTCACTTTCTGCCATAAAGGGTGATGTCATCTGCATATCTGAGGTTATTGATATTTCTCCTGGCAATCTTGATTCCAGTTTGTGCTTCCTCTAGCCCAGTGTTTCTCATGATGTACTCTGCATATAAGTTAAATAAGCAGGGTGACAATATACAGCCTTGATGTACTCCTTTTCCTATTTTCCTAAGCATTTACATCAGGCATTTGGTTGTGGGCTTATATTCATTAGTAGTTTATTTCATGTTCACAATTACCCTATTGTGAAGGCACTATTATTATTTTATTTATAAATAAACAGATTTAACGAAGCTAGGTTCCTTGCCCAAAGTCACAAAATTAATGTGGCTTCAAACACACGGTTTCTGCCTGAATTCTAAGCACTTCAGAATGGTCCAGTGCACCTGGTTTAATCGTCCTGCAGCCCTAGAGGAGGATATTTTGTCCACATTACAGATGAGACTCAGACATGTTCAGTGGCAATGCTTTTATCTACATAAGAGTTCAGGAGCCCACACTCCTTCCTAGCTGTTTCTATTCTACTATGATGGACTGTCTCCTCAGCGTGCCTCTTCTTGCTTCCCAGTCACAGGACAGACCTTCTCTCTGAAGAACATCTCCACAGAAATGTCGGGTTACTACATCTGCATCTCCAGCAATGAGGTGGGGACCGAATCCTGCAACATCACTGTGGCTGTCAGACCTCGTAAGAGCAGTTTGGGGTGGAGGGAGAGAGGGAGGGTGAAGGCCAGAAGGTGACTGGCTGGGGGTCCAAAGAGTCAGCTGACTGGGAGGTGAGCCGGGCAGCCCCTTTGGGGTCTCCCATTGGCAGGGTGGCTGAGGTGACGACCAGATGCTCCTGTCCCAGGCTCTCCTCATCTGAAGGCTAGCCCAGTTCCCTTTGTGGTTTGGAAATAGCACCTAAGATTGGCTTCTGGAGACCTTAGTCCTACCCTTAGGGTTGCTCTGTGGGCATGGGGGAAGTGCCCAGACCTGGCTTCCACAGAGTCATTCCCCATCATTTGGGGAGGGACACCCTGACCAGCTTGGAAATGAGTAAGAGCTGACATGACACCTGAGGGCTCTTTTGGAGCCTGAGTAGCTCAGATCTGTTGGCCATCTGGCCTTTTCTACACTTGCATCCTGAAAAGCATCCTCCAGCCTTGTCTGGTCATTCCCAGGAGGCCGTGCTGCTGGCGGCACTGCCCCTTGGGCTGGGAAGGCAGGCGCCACTCAGAGCCTGGGAAGGACCACCTCTCACATCGGGGACACTGGCTACTGTGGTTCCTCATCCCTGGCATGCACACCCTGCATCTTGTGTTGTGGGCTCGAGTTGGGAACTGCGGTTAGGGCTCACAGGACTTGCGGCTCTGCCTCTCCCAGCCTCCATGAACGTGGCTCTGTATGCGGGCATCGCTGGGGGCGTGGCTGCGGCTCTCATCATCATCGGCATCATCCTTTACTGCTGCTGCTGCCGGGACACCGGCAAGGCTGAGGACACCGACGTCGCACGGCCGTGAGTGTCGGGGGCAGCCTATTGGCAAGGGTCTAAGCAGGTTAGGAAGATGTGCCCCAGCTCCTCACAGCCTCTTCCTCTCATAGCACCTCAGGGGGCAGCTGTTAACAATAAAAACAAGTTTTATCCATCCCATTTTATAGTTGAGAAAAGAGTAAATGATTCACCCAAATCATAGAGTGGCATTGCTATCTGGTACATGACTCCAGGGCCCATGGTTCTCCAGTGTCTAATCCCAGGGTAGAGTTTCCTGTGGGTGTGGGGGCAAGCCTCTGTCACAGGCTGCTCTCTCCTCATAGCAAGCACTAGACCCAGCTCCCTAAGTCCTGAGTGGGTGAGTGTGAACCCTTCCCCTCTGTCCTCAATGCCTGCAGGAACCGGGCGGCCTACCGGGAGCCACCAGAGCAGCTGACAGAGCTTTCCGGAAGACAAGAAGAGGAGGGAGAGGATGACTACAGGCATGAAGACCAGAGGGACGCCGGCCGAGAGACCCCTGACCAGGCTGGCCGATGATCCAGGCCTGCTGCAGGCTGGGGTCAGTGGGAGGATTAAGTGGTCATCCCCCTGCCTCAAGGCCTCTCCTCTCCTTTCCAAACCTGACTTTTCTGACCCTTTGCCCCAGTTATTGAGGGATGCTTCATTCCCCATGTTGGCTGCTGGAGGACTTGTCTTGGCCTAGCCAAGGGGACATCACTTCTGAGTGACCTGCCAAGTGCCCTCCCCTTTGAAGTGACCCTCCTATTACAGCGCAGGGCCCTTCACCCTGGACTAGGCAGCAGCCTCCACTTCCCCATGGCACTCCTGCTACCCAGAGGTGATACTAGCCTCAGGAGGGCAGAAGCTGCCCTCCCTACTGTGTGCCCAGCATCCAGGGGAACAGCACCTGGCAGAGGTTTTGCATGCAGTACATTTCTCTTGAATGAATGAAAGAATAAATGAGTACACAGAGACTTTATCCAGATTTGGTGTGAACTCCTTGCTTTGGACCCGTGTTGGCCTGACCTCAAGCTCCCTCTCCAGCTGCATCTCCCACAGCTTTTCTGAACATTCCCGATGCTCCCTGCAAGGGCCACCTCAGCTCCCACTGTGCACTCCCTCATGAGGCTTTGCTTTCTGCATTTGGCTGCGAATGCCCATGAAACTCCCATCTCTGCCTGTCAAATCCTACCTGTCCCTCCAGGCCCGTCTCAAATCCAAGTGAACTCTATAACCCCATCCTAATCTCACACACAGATGGGGACAATCTTGTTACTTTGTCCCACACCCATCACAGGCCACATGGCACAGTTGTCTGAGTGTCTCTCCCTCTGTGTATAGTGCTGCCTCCTGGAGCAGGGCCTGGGCCTCAACCCCTGCTTTTCCTGGAGCCCTCACAGTCTACAGCCCTTCTAGCAGGCTCAGTCCAGCTAAATTTAGAAAACTGCTCTCGTAGATAGGGCCTTCCCCTCTCTGGTCCCCGAGACACAAAGATGACTCCCACCCAAACGCACTTGCTAATTTCATGAATGAAGGAAGAGGTGATCTAAATGAACACATCCTCATGTGAGTACATACACTGGAGTTAGTTTGCAGCTGGTCCTGTGGTCATAGTGATTATTCTTAAGGCCAGAGTAACTGGCATGCCCATCTCTGCTTCCTGATACCTAATCCCTGCACTGCCCGGTCTGTTCCTATCTTGGCTGGGCTTCCAGATCTGTTTTGCTGGCTGTCTGTCTAGTTGCCCCTCCCATAGCCTCTCACCTGTTGGTCGATTACTTCTGTTCCCAAGAGCTTGGTAGTGTCCTGGCTGCTTGGGTCTTGTGATCCAGTAGCTAGTTTCACTCAAATGCAATTTACCAGTAAGTAAACATTATCATTTCTTTTTTCTCTGAATGATCAGAAAGTAAATCTGTTGTCCTTTAGCTTCACAGCATTAGTCCTTCCAATGAATATTCAGGACTGATTTCCTTTAGGTTTGACTGGCTTGATCTCCTTGCAGTCCAAGGGAATTTAAAATATATTTTTTTATATATTTTTATATAAATATATTTTTTATGTGTTTTGTTAAATTCTTTGGTTCATTCAAAATGCTGTCAGTAATAATAAAATTGCCAGTGGAAATTCTTATTTCTTTTTTAAAGTGGGTTTTATCCACATCTAGGTAGAGACTGTGTCGTTTGTTGTCATGTGTCAGCCTGCTGTGGGCCTCTCTTGGGCTTTCTGGGAGAGGTGAGGTGAGGTGAGGGAGTCAGGGAGAGAACTGGGTCAGAGCCTGTGGGTCCCACTGGTTGCAGCCATAGCAGGGTCAGGCAATGGTTGCTGGGGACAGGACAGAGCCCTGCCTGGTTACGGAAGAATATTCCAGCTGCCTGCAACATCAGAAAGAACACACAGACCTGGGATTCGGTGCGTACACTCTAAGGAAGATGGCGGAGAGGCTCTGGCCAGATATACTCCAAAGAGCACCCCTCCTGAGAGAGGGAAGGAAGCAGACCCCCGTTCCAACTGTCAGAGATCTGGTGACTCCTCCCCCCCAAGCACTCAGCTCTGTCACCCTCTCCCACCACACATTCAAAGCCCTCGTGACCTATGTACCCCTGTCTTGCACCTGTTCCACAGCACTGTCATCACCATGGTCTGTGTCTGCCGAGGCCTGTGAGGTTCGTGAGGATAGGAACAGATCTTACTCATGGCCTGGCACATATTCACACAAAACTTGATACATTTTTGTTGAATGAATAATTGTTTTGTCACTGCGTCCTGTTCAAGGCCATTTTCTTGTCCTCTAGATACTCTGGGTGTCTCCCAGCCCTCCGTGTGCAAAGTTTTACACACATGATCTTGAAAGTGGTGGAAAGGAGGTGGCCACCTCCCCCAGCCCTGACCTGGCTGACCTCTCTGCCCCTGGAAGGGCTCTGAGCTGTGAAGCTAAAGCTCCAATAGTTTGGCCACCTGATGCAAAGAACTGACTCACTAGAAAAGACCCTAATGCTGGGAAAGATTGAAGGCAGGAGGAGAACGGAACCACAGAGGATGAGACAGTTGGATGGAATCACCAACTCAATGGACACGAGTTTGAGCAAGCACCAGGAGATGGACAGGGAAACCAAGCATGCTGCAGTCCATGGGGTTATAAAGAGCTGGACATGACTGAGTCACTGACCAGCAACAACAATGTGCCAAACACAGTACTGGATATAGAGCTCACTATAATGTCATTACTCAGGAGGTTCTACGATCCTCCTGATGGAGGTGACAGGCGGGAGCGTGGTCATGTGAGATGGAGACGATGCCATGACAGGGGCCTGAGTTACTCGGCCAGAGGAATTTGGGAAAGCTTCAAAGAGGAGGTGACCTGTGGGTATGTTTCAATGAAATTCTCTGAAATCATCCCACCCTCACCCTCTCTCACAGAGTCCCAAAGACTGTTGTATACATCTGTGTCTCTTTTGGTGTCTACCACAACTTTCTTATCCATTCGTCTGCTGATGGACATCTAGGTTGCTTCCATGTCCTGGCTATTACAAAACAGTGCTGTGATGAACATTGGAGTACATGTGTCTCTTTCAATTCTGGTTTCCTTGGTCTGCATGCCCAGCAGTGGGATTGCTGGGTCATATGGCAGTTATATTTTTCTATTTCCAGTTTTTTAAGGAATCTCCACATTGTTCTCCATAGTCGCTGTACTAGTTTGCATTCCAACCAACAGTGTAAGAGGGTTCCCTTTTCTCCACACCCTCTCCAGCATTTATTGCTTGTAGACTTTTGGATAGCAGCCATCCTGACTGGCGTGTAATGGTACCTCATTGTGGTTTTGATTTGCATTTCTCTGATAATGAGTGATGTTGAGCATCTTTTC